CTCTGTTTATGCATCAACTCTCCAAGGATGTCGCCAAGTCGGACAACCTCGTATAAATAACGAATCTCTTCAGTGGCACAATGTTATTGAGTATCAAGATCCTGATATAAGCGCCAAAGAACAGATTTCTACTGATCCTGTGAAAATAAAACTCAATGAAAGTGAATGGGGGGTTTCTCCCAGTGAGGTTTTTAATGCTTCTGTGGAACTTATTGATGAAAAAAATAGCTCAGTGTTAGGAATTGTCAACTTAACCATCACTGACAACAATGATCGTACTGTGAAACTTGGTACCACTTCAAACCTGTTTCTTATTCAAGGTAATTCACCCAAAATTAACAACCTACACCTTTTGGGAAAGGTGCACAGCAAGTTCAAAGTGCAAGCCAGCACAGTTGCAGGTCGGGTTGTGCAATTTTCCTTTCCTAAGCCATTGCAATTACAATTTTGTCACCCTGGCTTGGAACAGAAGAGTGGTGAATACAGTTGTACATGTTTGAAACAGCTCGGTATTTCACATTGCAGTGATGATTTCAAATTTGTGTTCTTAAAAAGAGGATACTGGGGTGGAACAAGAAAAGAAAAGAAAAACGAGTTCAGCACATACCCTTGTCCACCAGATTACTGTCATTTTGCTAAACATGATCCAAACTTTCAATACAACCCCAACACTCTATGTGTTAAAGGCCGCAATGGATCAAGTGTTCTTTGTGGGGCATGCAAAAACAACTACTCTGTAAACTTAGGAAATGAAAACTGTACAACAAAGTGTGACAACACCCATCTGTGGCTTCTTGTGGTATTTTTCATAGTGACACTATTCTTGGTATTGGTGGTGCTGCGTATCCAGTTGGACATCTTTACAACATATCTCAATACTTGGTTGTATTCCTACCAAGTAATTACATTTCTTCTTCAAGAGGGACAATACCTTGACCGTGTTATTAAATTTGTCATTGGCATTGCCAATTGGAGAATCAAAGGCGTTGGCACTTGTCTGTTTCATGGAATGAACAACCTTCAAAAACTTGGTATTAATTACATCCTTCCTTCATATGTTCTTCTGCTACTTCTTATTTTGGCCAAGGTTGCAAAGTGCCGCCCTACATGCTACATAAATAGGAATGTCTCGCGAGCCTTGTGCACTCTACTAGTTCTCTGCTATACGAATATTACAATGATTTCGTGCAACATCATTCACTATGTTCCCATACAAGGAAGATGGGTGCTCTATGCAGATGGTAACATTGACTTCATAAGAAATTGGAAGGAACACTTGCCATTCACTATCATTGCTTGCTTGTGGTTCATCCTTTTCGTTGCATTTGTACCATTGGTTCTTTTATTCACTCCCTGGTTCATGCGGCATTTTAAATTTTTAAATAATTTCAGGTTATTTTTTGACACCTTCCAACAGTGCTTCAAAGATGAATACAGGTGGTTTGCGGCATTTTATTTCCTCTGCCGCATTTACATCTTGTTTATTGCTCTGTTTGTTCCATTCTCACCTTTGAAGAGATCCATCTTAGAGGTTTCCTGTGTCTTAATTGTGGTGACATGCCTCTACCTTCGGCCATACAAGAGTAACAGGAATGGCAATGCAGATTATGACTGGTTGAATACTCTTGATGCTGTGCTTCTCACAAACTTGTGTTTTGTGGTCATATTCAGCTCAAGCATCATCAGTGATGCCTCATTATCTGTTCAGAGAGGGCTAGAGAAAATTGTCAATGTCTTGGCTTATGTCCCACTTGCTTACCTTCTCTGCCTTGTCTGCTATTATGGATGGAAATACTTTTGTCCAAGGAACCTGGACTTTGATCATCATAGAATGGAACCAGAAGCTGCATCCTCGACTGCTACTGGAAGTACTCATCAAAGTCAGGCAAAGCCCATATAGAGCCATAGTACTGTTACACTTGTCAAACTGTTTGAGCACACTGCAATTATTTTAATTAGTAATTGTGCTCTTTTCAGGGAGCCTCGCCTAAGTGAGAAATTAGTAAATAGCTGTTGCTTGACCCTACCTCACTCAAGGGTTAGTCGTCAGATACTTTTTTCATTTGCAGTACTCCATGAATTTAATGCAATGGTAACATGTTAGTTATTTGAAGTCAACACTATGCCCTGGGTTGATTGCCAGCAGCTGTTTAGAAAATGAGCCTTACTGAAGATCAGACTTAAGAAAAGGATAGAAATTGGGCCAAGCTGTGTACTGGTCTTTAAAACTGTCATAGATGAAAAGCTGGGTAATATGATGGTTTTCCAAGTAAAACATTTTTGACAAAAAGTAGATAAATAGTAATAATGACTGAATTATTAACAAAAAAGACCAACAAAGAGCTAAGAATTATTGCAACTTTGAGACCAAAAATAGCTTTGCCATTTTTTCAGTTGTGAATATAGAATTGTAACACATAATCAATAGTCATTGTTACAGATGCTGCAGATTGAAAGCTTTTATTCAGTCATTAAACAATGTATGAAATGTGCTTAGGGAAAAAAAAGCCATTTTCTTTGTTCAAAACTTATCACTAAATTCATTTCAAAAGTTTCTCAACTTATTGTTAAATATATCTCAATGAAAAGTTTAAATTTTTGCTTGAGGTTGAGTTCATTTTTTAAATTTTCTTACAGAAGTGGAAGTCAATTTTTTTATGATGATGTTGGTGACAGCTCATCAGAATCATAGAAAGATGTAACATTGCTCAAAAAATACTTTTACATCTTTGCATTGAGTCAATTCAAGTTAAATATATTTTACCAAGATATCAATGATATTAAGCTATAAATAATTTTTTTAAACATTTTGTAGACATCTACAATTATTATAGAAAGATACATCTTTTATTTTTTTACTGTCTTGTATTTCATGTTTGTAATTAGATAAGAGTGGGATTTTTGGGTTGAACAAAGACATAGTCAGCCATCATTACATAATTTCAACGTTTAAGGAGATCGACAGAAACAAGGAAGTTTAGAGGAAGCCTGTGAGTCTGATCTTCCACTACTGATCAATGAATTCATTAGCATTATGACAAGGAGTTTTTTTTTCATTTAGAGCGATGTGGCATAAATTTTTTGCATGCATTTATCTTTTTTACTTACCATGCAGACTGAAATGACAAAGGGGAATAATTGCAAGTCAAAAATCTATTCTATGAACTATTTCATTGCTCCCCTGAGATAATAGAGAAAATTGAGAAGTGCTCAGTTAATATTTACTAGTAAAATTAAAAATTTACTCAGATGCTGTGATGTACAGTTACCAGTAAACATTTCTATTGAAGGTAATGCATGTGGGAATCCATGTTTCTACATGTTTCCTTTTTGTGTGTGTATGTGCAAAGGAACTTTAACCCTTTCACTCCCAAGATCTCATGGGTAATTCTCCTTACTATTTGCTATATAATTCTTTTGATGTTAGTTCAGAGAACTTGGTATTGGATCAACTAGTTGAGTAATCCCATTATTGATATTTTTCTTTATTCTCATCACTTGTAAGATTGATATTTTATTGATGTTGTTAGGAGAAATTCAGTCGTGGTCACTTAAGGGAATTGAAGGGTTAGCAGAGTCCTAATGTATCTTTGTAGTTGCTGAAAGCAGCCATTTGTTTGTCTTGTTGAATTTTTTACTGTGAATGTCATCCATAGTTCTGACTTCTAGCTGTTACGCAGTTCCTTGAAAATTTTAGGAAGAAAATTTGATGTGACAAGAAGATAGTCTATCACTGATAAGTTTGCCTATTCTCACAACCTATTACTGCTAAAAATGTATTACATTTAATGTTGTAGAGGGAAGTTTCTTGTTAATCACCTATGGTGAATTTAGGGCAGTTTGAAGATGCTTTGCATGAAAATAAAATAAAATATCATTTTAAAAAATCTGAAAGAAAATTTAGCATCTCTTTTGGCTTTTGTTTAAAAGGCTGTTACCAGTATTATTTTATTTAAAAGGCTGGTCTCCAGATGTCTGTTTCATGGTCACTTCCTCTGAAAAATATCCATACCAACATTGTGCACACTCAAGAGAGACCTTTAAAATTTAAAAGTGGGTGGGAAGAAAGAAAAAGCAAATGAACCAAAAAAAATCAAATTATGCAAATGAATTGGAGCTGAAAAAATAGAGATGGTTTCACAGATGATTTTGCCAGGAGGGGGTTGAGGATTTTTTTGGTCAGCTTGAAGAAGGTGTAGAGTAGGTTAAATTCCTTCCCTATTCTTTCTTTATAACAAGGCTTACTCCTACACTAATTTTGTGTATGTCTTTCATCTAACCCTCCTCTGTTCCACTCAACCCCCTTTCTATTTCATTTATCCTCTCCACTGTCTCCCCCTGACAACAGTTGAGCACATCAGAGTCTTCCAACCTGCAACAAAAGAAGTGACATTTGATCATAACTCTGTGTTTTGTGGCCCCCTACACACAAAAGATTTGCATTTGATGGCTTGAAAGAAAATTTAATTGCTCTATTCAAGATGACTCATAGTTTTTTCTGCTCTACACGCCCTCCCTTCCCCTACCCCTTCTGACAGCGGTCTTGCGCTACTTCCTCTCCTATAAAGAGATGCATAGGGCTTGGATCATTTTACATAATTTTTTCAATTCACTTTTATTTCCCACTATTGATGAAGCTTCATTTTCCTATGAAAGGAGGCGGAATAATTGTTTGCCACAAGCTAATTATTTAGCAGGTATGTTCGTCATTTTGGCGTTTACATAACACATTCATACTCAGCAAGCATAAAATTACATATTTTGTACTGTAAAAGACTTACTTTATTCCTTCCAGATGATTAAAGAAACGTCCTTGCCGAATTTCTTTTGCATTTCGTTACAATACTAACAGCGGGTTTCTTGATAAACATTCTATAAATATCACACTTAATTACGCCGGACTAAAGAAGCAGCTTCCCACAGTCTGTATGGTGTCTAAGCCAATCAGATTCTACTGTCTCTGCGGTCAATCGCTCTGCGTAGTGATATAGCTGGCTTCTTTTCAAACCCAAACATTCTTGACACGATTCAAAGAGTTTTTTGGCTCTTTCTGTTCTTTGCGGAGCGAACATGACACAAGTGAAAGATTCGCGTACATGCGTTTTGCCCAAAGTAAGTACAAACAAAAACATTTTCCGCACTTTTTCCCTGTATAAGCGCGAGATCTTTTTAATTACACCTGCACAATTTGCATAGCAACGTGTAAGTCGTGCTTCAAGTAGTTCTATAGCTTCTGTTAGAGTCAGAAAGTATCTTTATCTCTACAATTAACTGCAAAGGCTTTTAAAGAAACTTGTATGGTTTGATAAGAGTTGCAAAATGAAGTTCCAAGGAAAGGTCATGAAAAGTAAGGTTCGTGAATACACACAGCTGTCTGCGAAATAATATCTAATTCAAAGACGAAAGAAAACGGAAACACATCGGCTGCAAAGTGCAAATAAAAATTGAAGTTTTATCCATTTTCTTGCTTTCTTTTATGGTTTTTTTTTTATTGAGAACTGGAAAATCATGTTATGGATTATGAAACAGCAATTAATGTTGGTTATAAGTTTCGACGGATGTTTACTACTATCTTTTATCAAGCGTTTGACGTGATACAGCTTAATATCATGCCATAAATCCAAAACTAAGAATAAAATTTGGAAAGAACGAAGATGAGGAAATTACAATGTTTATTTGCCGTAATTAGCGAAAACCGTCACTTCCGGTGTTGAAACATTTCCATACCACTTCCGCTTTTCACCACGACCGAGTTATGACTTCAACAATGGCGCCGCGTCAAATTGGGTGTCCCATCCCGCATCCTCCCATGCGCGCTTGGAGCGAAGATCAAACTTTGCAGGTAAAACAGCTTAAATTTAAGACAAGTTTCAGTAGGCTTGATCACTAAAACTGACTACATCACGTTAAATTTTCTGCAGCTGGACGAATCTGTCGTAACACCCGGCTTCGCTTACAACATTGCGAGGTATTTTCCTTCGGGAACTCAGGCTGATAAAGAGAGGTGTGTAGAACTCATGGAGAAGATTGGAGTATCACCAGATCCAGCAATGTGGTATTCAAGAGGTGCGAAGTTCTTAGAGTGATAACTTCAGAGTGTCAAAGAGAATTTATTAACCTAATTTGTTGTTATTATTGTTCGCAAACAGCCCCTCGATCGCGGACTCCGGTATCTCCCGCGCGACCACGAAGCGTGCCGCCACGATGCGCTCGTTTCCCCGAGAACAGCAAACCAAGCTATACAAAAAACCCGGAGTTGTTCTACATGACAACCAATAAAAGGGAATTCGGAGCAACTTTCGGTCCGCCGGCAGAGAATGCAAGGTAGAGGGATTTTCATTTTTATGTGTATGATTTGCGGCATCCTAGCAACGGAATGTGAACCTCATTTAGTTTTATCGTTCTTTCTTTTCACGCAGACCAAGGACTTCCAAGATATTTCCAAGTAGAAGTAACAACAACTCCACAACATATCAGGCTGATTTTAATGCAAAGAATACAAAAAAAGAAGAAGGGATTCGCACAGGTAGCTCGTCTGGTAACAGAAGGAATAATCCACACCCCTCCGAGGTAGGGATGGGAGATTACTTTAAGTTAAGAGTGACAAATAGCTAGAAACATTTGAAATCAATACAGTTGTGGTTATACCAAGTGTAAACGCTTATTTGCATGATAATTTTCATTTTAAAGGTGTTCTCTAATGAATAAATGTCCACCATTAGCCTTCGAAGTAATAGCTAAATTCTTTAACCCCTCATCGAAGGGTCTAGCTGCGATGGCCGAGTGGTTAAGGCGTTGGACTTGAAATCCAATACGGTCTCCGTGCGTAGGTTCGAATCCTGCTCGCAGCGAATGATGATATCCTTTTTTTTTTTTTTTTTTTTTTACGAATCGAAAATTTTCACTCATATTTACAAAGACAACTTGCGTGATTTAACTGTAGCTACCATATTTTCAGCATGTTTTTTAACTATTCTAATTAGGAATAACTAGTTTTTCAGTATGATTAGCTTAACAAAATATACTTTGATAGTCTGACTGTCCAGCAGAATTATGTTTGGATAGGAGAATTTATCTCGATAACAACTAAAATGTACAGGAAGGGAAACTCTTCAATTAATTTGCGAGTTATTCTGTACAAACAAAAAAAAATTTCGTCAAAAGTGTTAAAACGAGCTTAAAATTCTAGAAGTAAGTTTGTAAGTCTTACAATTTTTCCACGATTTATTGTTGTGATCTCAATTCCATAGGCATTCATGACATGGAAATTCTCAGGCCGTTTTCCATCAGTCCCTGCTGAAGATATTGACCCAGAAGTAATGAATGAAGTGTGTAAAGATGAGCTTAAATCTACTTATCACAGTGATTACACAGGAATTCCACAAGGTAAGGCCAAACCAATAGTTCTAATTAGCTCTATGGCTTCTTGCCGTCAATTATGTCTGTTCCTGGAAATGATGTAATAATTGGGTGAGTCATGAAATTTTAATCATATCATGAGGATGTCTGAGGTAGTATATAAGCAGTAACGCAAGGAAAAAATGCAGCAAATATTACGTGTAACTAATCCCTTCTTTTCTTGCCTAAAATGTGTAATTTTGTAAATGAGGTTGATTTTAATTTTTTGTAGTATATTTTTGAAAAAGTTTTTGGCAGAAAAAGTCCTGGGATCAATAGAAAATGATAACCAACTCCTTATTGTTTTAAAGAGAAGGGAACAATATTTCTTGGAGGATATATGCTGGCCATGGGTTTTATTATTTTAATTTCTTGTGTTGCTAATGACCCACAGTATATTTTGGTAAACCAAACTAATTTTAATCTAAATTTAAACACAGACTGCTCAACATCATTAATTGCTAAGTTTATTGAATTAATTTAATTCTCAACAAAGTTTTACTACCTGTTTCAAATGTTTTGGAACCAATATTGCATTTCTTGACAAAGGATAACAGCTTTTTGTCTTTTTTTTTTTTTTTTAAAGGGGTGAATGTTTGTACTGTGTTTGAGGGAAATCTTACTCCCTCTCTGTACAAACCTCCCCATACATTGGACTCCACCTCCCGCTACAGTTATCAGGTACCTGTTGTAAGGCATACATTATCAGCAAACTTTACACGTTTTGGGTGTAACAGGAACAAGTATAAGCCAGCTGTGGGTGCAGGTAGGTCAGAGAAAGCATTATGTTGTCTTCTGATAATTTTCCTTGATAGCAGTGGAATTAACTTTAGATACTTTTGTAATTTAAAAGAACAGAATTGTTTTGGTCCATTAGTCTCCTTCCATAGATAGTGGAGGTTAAGATTCTTAAAGATGAGGCCATCTCCAGCAGCATAACCATGTTTATTTTAGCAAATTTTTAAGGTGAAACAAGAATGTGCAAGCACATGACACAACTTCACTAAAATCCCCCAAAGCTCGATTGGCACAGGAGTAACACAACATATAACAGAACAAGAATTTATTTGTTGAAAAAATTACAACTCAAAACATGGACTTTAATTAAAGACACAAATTTAATGTCTGTCATTCATAAACAATGTGCCTTTAAAATATTATTACTAATTATAAACATCACCATTGTTTCTTTTATTTTTGTTCAGTAGAATGGTAAAATCATACTTGATGTAAAGATCATTGATTAAAGATTTGATTCTTTCCTTATTAATTCTCAAGTTCCTACAGTATCCTACAATTCTCCCCAAATGCATCTTTATGGACAAACACATTACTCAAGAGATTATGTTGACAAGTCTGCTGTTCTTAAGGTCAGTGTAATTAAAACCAATGACAAAATCATCACACAGTAAGCAAATACAGGGAAGAAGTTCAATTTTTTTAAACCAAAGTTTGAAGTGCTTCTTATGAACCAAAAAAAATTAAAAAAACAAACAAACAAACAAAATAAACTAAGCATTTTATCAAGAAAGTAGAAAATAATGCAATTTATAAATAACTATAATTGTAGGAGCCCTGAAGATTATTACAGAACTTCCTGTAGAAATATCCCCCATCTGGGATGCATTGGGATGGGATGACATAGACACCCAAGGGGCTTTAGAGTAAATGTTGAATGATTTGTATCTGAAAAAATTTGTTCAAGGTTGATCTGATCTTGGGTCTGATCATTATTGTCATTTTTTAGGAAAGATCTAAATATGACCAGTATGCAGAAATTCCAAGATTGGATGAGTATTTAAAAACTGCAAATCCATATGGTAAGAGTCTGCCAAACAATTTGCTTGACAAAAAGAAATAGAGAAAGTCAGAGTTCATATACTGTTCAATTTTCATGAGAAAGTTGTTAATGACAAATGTTATCCAAATAAGAAAAATCTTAGAAACAAGAATAGTAGATTGTTAAAAAAAACAATAGTCATAGACTGAGGAAAAATAAGGCAACTAATTAGGAGAAGAACATTAATTTTAGGAAGTCAATTATAATTTTAGTATAATTTTATAATTATTATTTTATAATTTAATCTTGTTTTTTTCCAAGTAACCCTCCAAATGACTCACACTTCATCTTAATGGCAAATACTTTCATTTGGAAAGTTAATTTCAAATATATTTTTTTATCAAATCTTTTTCTCATGATTTATTGATGACAATTGACCACAAACTTTTGTACTCTCTATCTCCTAAACAGAAAGGGAAAGTTTGATGCAAAAATTACAGAGCTTAGCAACAAAAGACAGGAGAGAGAATCGTGACCCACAGTGGCTTTCACAATGGACAGGTCCTGTGTGAAACCATTTCACAAGGGAGAAGCCATGCATTGCTGAAATCTGGAAAATGTTTGTTAATATATTCCAATACAACAATCATTCACTCATCTTTTAAATCCACTGCAATTGTTGAAAACAATGATAAAACTTCTTCATTGTCAAAGTCACTTTGAATGTAAATAGTCACGTCTGCACTATATTTTTTCCTTACAGTCCAGGAAAATTACTGACAATCTGAAAACAAGGTGATACAGTGATAAACAAGAGACAACAAAGTTGTTGTTGCAGAAAGACTTTGCAGCTTTTTTATCTATCTTAATCAGTTAATTGGGAGAGTTCTTTCATTATGGCTGATATACCGATCATTAATTCAACAAACTAAGATGTATATCTGTAGAGAGAGAAAACTTTGTCATAAAAAATAAAGGGAAAATATTTATTGATTTTTCATTATTTAAAACAAGAGGAAATGTTGATGTTCCATAGTTTTAAGAGATTCTTACTTACATCACAAGACAACTATGACTTCATAAGTTATGGTGTCACTCACCAAAAAAAGAAACCTTTGTCTTGAGTGCTTAAACATACACTAAATTAAGTTAATTTTACAATTTGAAAACAGCTCATGAACATTAATAGTGCTATTAATGTAGCATGACTACAAAATGGTGTCAACTGTTGAAGCAGTAAAGCATACTTGTCATTTAATGTGAACTTCAAGTACATTTACTTTGCAAATTTCTTAACAAATTTCTTTCCCCTGTATGCCAAAAAGGAATGGTATTGACAAACAATGATGTTCCTATTTATTATCGACTTATCCTATTTACCCCCAATATATAAGGTCGTGGTTGATTGAAGGTCGGATAATGCCATCCACAGGATAAATCTCCATCCAGTGGGTAATGCTATACATTTTGCTATCACTTATCAGTTGGATAGCGATTTATTCATTTATTTATTTTGTGTTGGATAGCTTTATTGGCCCTTCATACAATCGAGCCAAGTACTCTAGCACATTAATTTTAACATCCTCATTGTGCAGAAGCATTACATTTTGACATTCCTGTCCCAGCAATAGGCAGGAAGTTTGTCACTATTGACCTGGTGAAACAGCCTAGCCTGCCATGAGTCTTGTGTAGCTCTAGTTGTAGATTTTCCATAGTACTAATTGGCAGGTTGTGCTGTGGACTCCTATTGGGAGCACTCACAGACCTTTTTCCCAAAATCTCTCAGCTCATGCTGTGCACATGCTTATTCTTCTGAACATTGTTTACAAACAAAGGCATATTCCTTACTTTCCAAGTTAGGGGAATGTTGTTCGCCCTTATACAATGGAACCTTTTCCATTAGACACCTCAGGTCAGAGTTCACCTTTACTAATGGGATACAATCTGTTGTGGCTATGAAAAGTTTTCATTAACTTTCCCTGTTACCTTTGTTCAGGGTTCCACCATGTTTAACTCTTGAACTCCCAGCAGTGATTAAAATGTAACTTCTCCCTTTAATAGCCATACATTATCCAGCAAACAGGTGATAAGAATACTCAAACTAATCAGGTATATGCTGTTATCTTGATCTAACACCAAATTCTTGAAACTGATTTACTAAGAAATATGTAGCAGGTAGAGGCGAGAATTGATAAGCAGATCTTGGGAGTAAATGGTTAATAAAGAATTACCACACAAATCAATGATATGATCAATTTAAAAATTCCTACTTAATAAGATTTTGTTTTCTTCCCTGTTGGTTGTCCATTTCCTGCATGATCTACTATAATATTTCCTAGGGTCACCATACAGAGAAAGGGAACAAGTATCCAGATGCCATTTGGAATAATGTATAAAAACACTGCAGACTTCCAGTCATTGTGGTTCACAAAGTGTTGTCCACCACACAACTCACTAGAGACGAGGAAGTAGAATACTGTTTTGGAAAATGTCATTGTGCTCACCATGAAGGCAACCAATACTGATAGTCCAACTTTTCCCCTGTTATACTAGAAAAAGAAAAAAAAATTTCAAGTATGTAACTTTTCCCCCCAAAATTGCCTCCATCCCATTGCCAGTATAGCAAATAAGCACCTCTCGGTAAGCACCCCCCTTTCTCCTCAGTTTCTTAACTTCTCAGAGTTATTAGCATCTAATTTCTCCTTACAATATCACCCCTTAATCACATATTAAGGTCATGAGAATTCAGAATATGATCAAAAACTGGACACAATCTTGATTTTCAAACAAATCCTCCTTGCAAGTACATTAGGAAATGTATAGACAACAGTATGGAGAGTGTGCATACTGATTGGTAGGGTTCAATGGGTATGGGTATGGAAAATTTGGAGCTTTATCACAAGATAAATAAACACCTTATTTGTTTGTTATGAGTGAGAGACAACTGCAAAACCACTCACCATTATTAGAGAAATGACATTGAGACACATTTCCACCAGATTCATGCTGAGACAAGAGTAAAAGAAATATATGTCATGAGGAAGATGATGAGTTGAATCTGAAATAAAAGAATCCAACTGGGGTGGATCTGGAGAATTAGAAAGAGCAGGGCATGAAATTGCATCTAATATAGGTGCCAATGCAACTAAATTTTTCACTTTGGTGACCAAACTCTGAAAATTAGTTGCCAAATTGGCAACTAGAATGTTTTATCATAACCATTCCAAGAGATATAGTGAATTAAAATTATAAATCCACTGCAAACTTCCTCGTTAAGTTTGTTTCCAAAATGCAGCACATGCATCTCTATCAATAAATAGATACCATCTTGGATTTAGGTGAGCCTGAACATTGAATATCATCCATCCTAGTGTCCACTTTGTAGCACGTTGAAGATCTTTTCCCTAACTTAATTTTTGAGGGTCTGTCTAGAACGCTGACAGCGTAAAAATGGTTTTGTTGTCTTGGAAAATGGAGACCAACTTTTCTTGAATTGGCTACCATTTTGAAGAATTTAGGAGCCAAGTGGCTATCAGAAAAAAAATTAATTTCACACCCTGAAGAGGGAACTGAAATCAGTCACTGTCTCTCTTGATACCACAAATACAATAACACAGCATTTAGTCAATAGAACTGTTCAAAAGAGCCTATAACAATAATAATAATAAAAATTACAATTTCCTAAATTGTGATTGGTTTAAAAAAACTCTTATTTTCCACTAATTCACTTGCCAAGTTGTTAACAGACAGTTTGTTATTGGACAGTCCAATAAGACAATCACTTTCAAAGTTGTAGTTTTAATCAAACATTTACAACCTTTCATGCAACTTTTTCCTTTCCTTCATAGCTTGGCTATTGTTCTTCAGTTTCTTGGAAATTGTAATAAGACTTAGTGTCCTCCAATTTGGTCTGTAATCATATTCATGATAAACAAATCGGACTCCTGTGATGCATTTCTCCAATTTTGTTACCACTCCTATGATTACAGACCAAACTGGATTCCATCCAGTCCTATTACCATCAATAATGACAAAGAATAAAAAATTCTTCAGAAAGAGATCATACCCCCTCTAGCCTCCAATACCCAAGTTCAGTTTGTGTCAGTTTGCAATATAGAATTAACTGAATGACATATAGTAAAAGAACAGCCACTATATGTACACCATCTTCTTTCCAAGATAAGACAAGGGGAAGTAACAGGTAAGTTTTTGCGTTTGAGTTCGTGGTAATCTTGCCAACACTTCGATGTAGTCTCCCCAGGTTTGGCGCCTTGCACCACTACGTACATTTGAAGAATTTGAAATTCATTGCAACATCTTCAAGAGTCTTTGGAAATGTTTGCAAGTCATTGGAACGTATTCAGTAATATCGAAAGTAATGTCCTGAAAATGTTTTATAAAATAATTTAAATAGTATGCGCACTCTGATTGGCCACAAAACCATTTTACATGATCGTATGTAAACACGGTTTTCGTTCCTCTTTCATTAGTTATTTAATAAAAGAAATGTAAAATGGTTTCCATGTTTACATAGCCCGATGTAATCACTTGGGAGGTTGGGAGAACACCCAATAAGCTGGAAACCACTCCGCTTCGCGTCGTGGTTTCCTACGCTTATCTCGTGTTCTCCCAACCTCCCGCGGTTTACTTTGGGCTATGTAAGGAACGAAAACCGCGTTTACATACGCTCATGTAAAATGGTTTTGTGGCCAATCAGAGCGCGCGTACTATTTGAATTATTTTATAATTCTTCATTGTAAATTGCGGTGCTAATGATATGAAAAAATATTGATCAACTATTTTACCTAGGGAAAGTTGACAGGTACCTACACAGCCGTTATAGAATAGAAGCATTCACACTCAGAATATTTAAAGTGCATCAGCAGTAAAACCATGCTGCCTCATACGGCGATTTTGATATCACTGATCAGGGAGCTCACAATATTATTTACTACGAGGGAAGCTAACTGTAGTTGAAAAAACTCACAAGCTTTGTCCATAATTAAAAGTGTCATCTACATCGGCGTATCTTTTGTCGACGTGAATGTAAATATTATCTGAAACAAACAAAATCAAAGTATGTCTAAATTTGATCCTAAGACTACTGGGCTTTGTAACAAGCTACTGAAAACTTTGCAGAGACAAATCGTTTCTTCTACTTTTTGCGTGACTTCTAGCTGAGTCATACTTCGGTCCTAAAGTACAACTTACAATGCAGAAAGAGATAGTTCCATTTTCCTCCCGGTAGTGTATGGGGTCGCAAAATCACAAACAAGGCGTCGATTGTGACCATAATACTTGAGAAAAAGAGCCAGACAACGACCCAAATTGGAAGATTTTGCCCCGCCATCTGTGATATGGTCCGATATCCTACGGACCTGGGAAATTGCGCAAGGTAGTGTGGGTAAGGTTTTGGACCTAGTCACGCAACGCGATACGTCACGATTGGTAAGTGGATATCAGACTTTCACTTCCAACATCCAACTATGAATTTTATTTACTGTCTGCGATACATTTCGTACAAGGGTAGAACCTGTAAAACAGATGGCATTTTTTGCGTTTTCAAAGCAAGAGGAGGCTTGTGATTTTTAAATTCCCACCATTTACATAATCTGCCCTTGAATCTCCTCAAAGCACAACAAGTTTCACATTCTGCAAGAGGCATATCTTTGGTAGTCGCTCTTTCAATCGTGAGGGACAGTTTTGGCAAGATTAATTTCTCTTGGTTTGAGGAATTTCCATAAGTCCCCTTGCCATTTAAAACATGGGTAGCTGAGATGGAAAAAAAGATATCATAGGCTTGTAAAGAATGAAGAGTAGAAATGATTGAAGTCATTTTTGTGAAGGGAAATAGTTTATTTTGTGAAAATGTCATTTCGAAATTTTTTTTACAATCATGACTATTTGTAGCCTGTGGCATGGTGCAATCTACCTCTGATTGACAATCAACCACTTGCATTGCAGGCTAAACTACTATTCAATCTCAGCTGTTATTTTTCAAGATGAAAAATAATATGTATGGGGCTATGGTTCAGCAGAAATTTACTGAGATTTCAGATGTTCTTCTTCTGATGGTTGTCCATTTCTCATGTGATCAATCATTATTTGTCCTGTGGCCACCATACAGAGTAAGGGAAGAACTATCCAGATACCATTTGGAACAATAAATAAAAAAACTAATGTCTTCCAATCATTGTGGCTCAGAAAGTGATGGCCGCTACACAACTTGCTGGAGACAAGGAAATAAAACACTGTCTTGGATAATGTCATTGTGCTCACCATGAAGGCAAGCAGCACTGCCAATCCATCTTTGCTGCTGTTTTGCTACAAAAAGGGACCATAAAATTAGTTATATAATGAGCTGAATTACAAACGCATTTCATTGGTTCTTACCAACTACATTTTGATGTCATTAGTGATCTATTAATTAAACAGACACTCAGAAACATGGAATCTACTTGTTAATTTTTTAACAGTTTGGTGACTAATAAATACACTCACCATTGTCAAAATGACGATGTTGAGACACATCTCCAACAAATTCATGCTAGCAAAAAAAGAGATACAACAACAACCTTAGTGAAAGGTATTTACTGTATTTCCAAGAATAAGGGTCCAAACTCTAAAAAGCACCCATCTCTTAATAAGCACCCATCCCCTAGGCCATAATTTCAAACAAGCTTGCCTCTAAAGTAGCCTTCCCCCCCCTCAATAGTAGGGAATTACAAGTAAAATCTGTTTCTATTGCCACTTAATCTCTATCTCTAACTTTTTAAGCATTAACTAGGGTGGAATCAGAAGAAGAGAGTATTTTTTTCATTTCCAGTTATTTCTAACTCCATGTGCTTGCAGAGCAGAGTTCCTCAGTGTGATATCTGTTCTTTAGATTTTTTGTTTTATTGCTGCGCTAACTAAATAAGCACGCCCTTACGATTTGGTGCCCACCTTCCAAAAGCGCCCCCGCTTTTGACCAAAGTTTTAATTAAGCGCCCGGGTACATATGAATTCGAGGAAATACTGTGTATTATTAGTAAGAATGAAAATATCATAACCGTGCAATAATCAACTGAAAAGAGAGAAATGTGCGAAACGAACACACTTTTTTGGAATTTGAGACTCAGATGCATTTAACACATACAGATTAAAGAGTTTGATTAACAGGTATTTACTGATTTCAACTGTACATAGGTTGAAAATGTTATCTATCAAACTTTCATCATTCCTCAGTATTTGTGGAAAACTTACAAGCTTTGCCCAATGACAAATGTGTCTTTCAGATCTTTGTACCTAGGATCAACTTCGATGAAAATGTTGTCTGAAGGAAAAAACAAAAAATTGTTACAGAAACAGACTTTTAAAGGAATTTTAAGAAGATATAACACAAGTTAATGAAAACTCCACGTTAGTACGTACGTGGATAAAATTGCGTGACCTGAATGCAATCAACAGATGCAAAAAATACTTACATGGTTCAAAAAGGAAGTTCCATTTTCCATCTGGTAGTGTATGGGGTCGTAAAAGTACAAACAAAGCGTCGATCGTGACCACAATACTTGAAATAACGAGCCAAACTGCTACCCAAAATGGAAGAATTCGCCCAGCCATGTTTAATCTTGGGCCACTCTCTATGAAATGATCACGCAACGTCTTGTGGGTCAGATTTAAAACAGCCTGTCCCTATAGTCACGCAAGAGTAAGTTCTAAAATGTAATGGTTTGTAGAAGTTTGCCAAAATGGCGTGATAAAATTATGTGGGCTTCAAATTGCGCGAGGCTTGATGAAAAGCTCTCTGGATAAAATTATTTTGTAAAGAGGCACGTCTCATATTTCTAAACGGTCGTTTAATCTAAGTCTAATTGTCTTGATAATATAATTTCTGTGAAAAAATTGTCTAAGGAAAAGAACAGCCAAAAGAAACAAATCAAACCACAATGGATAATTGTGTCTACTCTTCTTTTTTTAATTTACTCTTTTTCTTCATTTTGAGAAACCTCACCCCAGTTTTCCCATCTAGCCTTCTGACATGTTGAACATAGGCTACTGAGTCTGACTTGATACAAAATGTGTTGATGTATACAGAATCATAGTATGGAGATTTGCAATGGGGAACTAGGAAAGTTCACTTAAGGTTGCCTCTAAGGAGTTCAATATTAGATGGGGGGAGGGGGTTATTGAGCATGCATGCACCTTATTTGAAATCTGCAAGCAAGTGCTCATAGAGAGGCATGAGGAGAAGTGCTGGTATATAGCACTGGAGAAGATGAATTGATTGTGAGCCAAAATGAACTTGGCAAAGAAGAACAGTCAAAGTATTGATGCTGCAGCTTGTAAATTGCATTGCTTGTGATGCTCTCAGGATTCAAAACATTTTCAAAGACAGTTTTGGAATTAAGGGAGGAAGGTAGGAATGGAAGAAGCAAAGACTGTTTTATGACATTTTGATAGGTTTGTCAGTTTCTTAAAGTGTAAATTCGCACAAATCTAAGTGTAGCTTATCTTTGCTCTAGTAAAGGAAACTAAAACAATGTTAATGTACCAAGGCATAATTGAAAAACTACCACACACTTAGCTCTGACGATGGACTTTACTTCATAAGCTAAAAATATACATATCTCTTCTTTTATTGGTATGTAAAATCAGTGGTGACTTAATCTTTATTCAGTATAAAACAGCAGAAAAGTTCTTTTAGAAACAGAAAAAAATAGCCTAATGATACACTGATAACATATATGTCTTGTTAGCTATCTTACCAATAACTACCTTTTGTACAGGTAAGCAAGTACATAGAGTTAGCAGTACATTTTGCATCTTCAAGATCAATTGATTTAAGTGTCTCATTGCGCTATTTCTGAAAAAAAAAAACTAATTGTAGCCAAATTTAGATCATGTAAATTGCTAATCCAATTGTTCCTGATATAAAAATAGCAGCAAGACAAATTTGGGCATGAAAATCATTAAAAATTTCTGTCAAGGAAGAATGAGAACGAATATTATTTCTCCACACAACTTATCCGCACTCCAAGCTAAAGATAAATTATTGTTTGAAAACAGCATTTTTATATCCTTGTTTCATGAAGTCTTTGAGAATGCAATAAAGGACATTCTGATGGTGTTTAATATGTAGACATTAAAAACCAGGACATTTCAAGTATTGTTTGTTTATTACAAAGGCCAATCAGAACAATGGTAAATATTAAAAGGTGCCAGTAAGGACTCAGCTCAAACTAAAAGAGAGGGAAACTGACTGAAGCATGAGAAAAAATTTTGAATGACTCAGTCATGAATAGTTTTAGTTTTGTATCAGATGGGTGACAGATTAAAAAGGAAAGTAGAACCATTCCATTAAAACAAAGAGTCATTTCAACACAAAATTGAAAACCTACTAAATCAGTGAAAAAAAACTATGAAGTTTTACTGCAACCCTTCACTGTAAGTCCTAAAAAAATCAGCTTCTAATTTCTCCTTACAGTAATACTGCAGATTCATTTATTAACCCTTTAACTCCCATGAATGACCAAGACAGAATTTCTCCTTACTATATCTATACAATATCATGCAGGCAAGTGATGAGATTAAAAGGAAAATATCAATTATGAGATTACTAATTGATTCAATACCAAATTCTCCAAACTAACATGATGAGAATCATTTGGCAGACAGTGAGGAGAATTACCAATGAGATCTTGGGAGTTAAGGGGTTAAGATCATGAGAATAAATAAAATGATTGCTGATATAAAAAATAAGTAAACTATCTTTGTCTGCTCAGTAGAATATGGATTCTGATGTCTGGGTGTCAAAGGTTACTGGGATTTCTTCTTCTCTTTGGGTAGTTGACCACTTTCCATGCTGTGTACTAATATACTTCCTGTGGCCACCATGCAAAAGAAAGGAATGACAATCCAGAAGCCATTTGGAATGATGTACAACAACACTGTTTTCCTCCAATCCGAATGGTTCACAAAGTGTTCCCCATTACACAGTGAAGTAGACACCAGGAAATACAACACTGTCTTGGAAAATGTCATTGTGCTAACCATGAAGGCAAGCAGGACTGAGAGCCCTGATTTCCCACTGATGTGCTGAAATAAATAAAAAAATGATCAGAGCTGAGTTTTCTGAGAAAATATAAAGCAATCAATATTTAAACTGTAAAACTGTAATACTCCTGACCAGAATATCACTCTAGGTAGAGAAGGGCTCCAAGTTCATCTTTTCAAAAAGTCACCTCTTGGCAACCTTCAATATTGTTAAAAAGTTGGTGTAAAATATGTCATCAATAGGAGGACATTACAGGTTGTATTACTTGATTTATTAAGTGAGCCAAACACTATGTTTGCCACACTTCTGTTTGCTTGCTTGCCAACTAAAGGATTGTCGCAATGGTCAAGACAAAAAGGATGAAGAGGCTCTAGCAGCAGAAATGATTTACAACAAAGTTGGCAGGACACAAAGATCCTTGACATCATATCATCAGTTACAAAATCAATAAAACTGTTGTGCAAAATGTACTTACTATGGCTAAAACAACATAGTTGAGAAACACCTCTACCAGATTCATCCTGAGACACAAAATAATAGGTGGCAGATGAATATCAACATCAATCAGAGTGGTAGACTTAACCCTTTAACTCCCATGAGTGACCAAGATAGACTTCCTCCTTGCAATATCCATAAAATATCAACCAGATAAGTGATGAGGATAAAGAAAATTATCAATTTGGGGATAATTAGGTGATCCAATATTAAATTCTCTGAACAAAGATTATAAGAATTGTTTGGTTGACAGTAGGAGAATTACATATTCAATCTAGGAAAAGGACATGCAGGGGTCCAGTGGTGAATGTGCTAGACTTATGTTCAAAAGGTTCCAGTTACAGCTGTCATCAGTTTCATTTGATCAATTTCTTTATTCTCACTGTGTTTCATTTGACCACAGAATATGAATGGGTATTTTTGAACCCTCAGAGTAACAAGATAAAATTCTGAAGCAGCCTGAATGGATTGACCTTTAAAGGTCTGGGTTGGAGATCTTGCCCAGTCTTTACTCATGCAGTGCCTCTCTCTGCAGAGGAGTATTGATGGGTACCAGAAAACTGCCCAGGAAGCCTGACAGAATGCCTGGGAAGGGGGGAGGGGGATTTGATACTTTGAACGGTCAGCATCCCATTCAGCATTTCTCATCATTGCTTCATGATTCACAAACCAGGATAAGCCCCGAATGGGATGGATCTCTTGCTTCTAGAGAAGACTTGAACAAATGGACCATCATCAAATAAAATGATTTTGTGCAAGGAAGCAAGAAAGTCTCTGACAGCTATGACAGTTACCCTCATATTCTAACTTTACCTTCAAACCAATTCGGAACTAAGTCATGAACTATTGCCAGTTACAATTTAATTCTACCTTCAATTTCACTGATGCAAACTTACAAGCTTATTCCCTTGACAAATGTGTCCGTGAGATCTGAGTATCTTAAATCAACTTGGAGGTAAAGATTGTCTGAAAGAGAAATTAAATAGAATGACATTGCAACTTAGTCACGTTACAGTTTGCTTTATGGAATTTAAAACTTTGGAGTATTTCAATGTAAGTAAGCTCGTCTTTCTGTATCGGCCCTTGCTTCAAAGTTGAGGCACGTACAACAACTTTTTCCAACATTTATCTCGCAAGAATGACAAATACATCCGTTTTTATTCAGCTTGAAGGGTACAAAAACAAATTCTAAAAAAATTGAGTATAAAGTGTTCTTAATCGCACCGAGCGATCAAATGTAACATGCAACATTCGTTACTTTTCTGTGCACTTACGCGTGACATTAGCAAACATGCGATTTATGCTTACAAGGCTGGACGATGTGGTTCCATTTTCCTCCTGGTAGGGTATGAGGACGCAGAATGACAAACAAAGCATCAATTGTGCAAATAATACCCGAAATAAAAAGCCATGCTGAAACCCAGAATGGAAGATTTCGCACCGTCATCTTCGATCCTCGAGAAGCTCTCTAACCTTGGTAACAAGCGCAATGTATCATGGGTCAGGGTTACTTGGGATACCTGTTCAAAGTTGGTAGTTCTGTGTCATACCAAACAAGGTCACATGATGACGTCATAAACTTCCTTGAAGCGAGTCGGGTAGTTATTCCTTAGAGTCGCCATTTTTGATTTCACTATTGTATTTGGCTTGTAATTTAGTCACCAAAGCGTAGAAGTTATCGCAACAAGTCCGTAATCTATAATCTGGAAAGCTTTGAGGCTTTCCATAGAAGCCTAGGATGGCCTCAAATCAACGCTATGAACCGGTGCGTAAGTCGTTTGTCCATTTCATGTTTGCCAACGTATCTTAGATTTTTCCTTCGAATTCCTTAATTTGATTAATGCTCCTTTTGTTTGTTTGGTTCTTCTTGAGCGAGAAATATTGAATTTCTATGTCGTAATTATTCTCTTTCGTTTCGTTCAAAACGTATTCTAAAACAATACAACCTGGTTGCGCATCATGTGAGTTGAAATGTAAACCGTTTTAAATCTGCTTTACCTACCGAATGTTTTGTTTCGATAATTTGGTGAATTTGCGTTTTCTTTACTCATCGTTATTAAACTTACCACTGAAATAGTGTTAAATTCGCTGAAAATTAGAAATATTGTGACGATAATTTTTCCTTCTGATTAGATTAGTTACCCTATCTGTTATTATTTGCAATCATGGTTGATTTTTCTTTAGTTCGTGGGCTTATCTACGAATGAGAAAACTTATTGCTTAGAGTGCTCAACTCCGGGATATTTAATTGTGGAGACTAGTATTTGCTTTGTTTATTCCACATAAATTTTCCATAAAGTGATGTTAAGAATAGTTCCTAAAGTTACAATATCGGAGATACGTAACAGTTATTGCTAGAATTGAATTGACAAATTCTTCAGGGTTAACAATTTTTACAGATGTTCTTTACGATAGTATCGTCCATGCAACTACTTTTAAGGAAGTTTAGAAGTGAAGTTTATTATGAACTGCTGTTGGTCACAAAACCCCCATTCTGTCATTTATGTTTTTCAATAGTAGAATACAAAGTGAACTATTTTAACAGAGAGAGAGAGGGTAAAAGTAAGGGTATAAGAGAAATATATGTTATTCACTAGCCAGGAGGTCCTTATTGGGAAACCTCAACCCAAGACAGAGGGCACAGTTTTTCCTAATACAGACCAACCCAGGCTGGTGAATAACATTTTTACTTTTCCCTTAAACTTAACAAAATTCTTTCCAAAAGAACCCAAATGATTTAGGGGTGTAATTACTGCAAGGTCTTCCATAAACTGAACAATTTTTGATGAAGTAAATAGTAGTTAAAATAGGGGTAATGCAAATTAAAGAGGGGGGCTTTAAGGAAACCTTTTCATTTGTGTATTGATAAAGGTGATTTAAACGGCTTCCAAACAAACTTTGAAACATTATTTTTACCAGTATCTGTCACAGTCTGACACCTGTCAATTAGAGAGCATATAAGTAAAAAAGCACATGCACACTTTTGAAAAAACAACAGAATTAGTTTGGCAAGGACTGTCAGGACAATGTTTTCTTCAAAAACAGTCATTGATCTTACAGAAAGTTTTATTCACTCTCATTGACGGTTAATTAATGTACAAAGATTTACCTCCATTTAGTTGGTAAATGGTAAGGAAATTTAAGAAATCAAAGAAATCTAAGAACCAAGGAGATTGCAGGATTCGTTACCATGCCCTCTGAGAAAAAAATAAAAATTGGTACTCTAATTCAAAATATTGAGATCTCAATGCTTAACCTTTAAACTCCCAGAAGTAATTAGCATGTAGCTTCTTCTTGTGACATCCATACATAAACCTGCACACAGGTAATAAGAATACTCAAACAAATCAGGTGGAAGTCCTTATCTTGATCCAACACCAAATTCTTGTAACTGATTTACAAGATGTGTTGCAGTCAGAAGGGAGAATTAACAATCAGATCTTGGGACTTAAAGGGTTAGGTGGCAACTACATTGTGGCTTATTGTAGTAAAAAGTGTTTCCTCTCTTTAAGGTGTCTACCAGTGAACCACCTCCACCCTCTTCTGTTCCTGTTGTCTTGACAATAGCCATACCCCTGGAGGATGATACTGTATGCTCTCCACCTCCCCCTTATGAACCAACTGAGGACCAGGATACTGCTAGAGGTACTTGTTTGATATTTTCCTCAATCATGTTTTGAGTCTTTTGGTATATATGGCTTTTCTGTCGGAATGGCCACGATTTGATCAAAAGCAAAATTAACTAATTGTTGTTTACATCATTAGACACCGATCTTCCTCCATCTTATGATATTGCGGCTAAGCTACCGACTTATGAGGAGGTAGAAAGAGTGAAAGGGGATCAGGATGGTTTGGTGAGTTACTCAAGCCTTGTGATACTTAACAAATAGATCCCAAGTTGTGGTGCATCTGTTCAGTAATAAATCACAGAGGACGTCAAAACCTTGGTGAGAGCCAATCAGAATGTGTGCATAACTGAGCTTATTATATAAATGCACATATTTAATGTTTTGGTATATATATCACTTCTTGGTTATGTGACAAATGACCTGACTATTTTTTGTATTTCAGGTTGAAAGGAATGCGATTTTGCTTGATGGTGGAGTAGGTACGTTTAGAAATGTCATTGTTAGTTATATCTGTTCTATTATATTGCTACTGTCTTTTATTTTTGGAAATGTTACAGAGCCACCACAAGTACCATTTTATGGAAGTGTTTTTTTAGGCAATGGCACTACTAACAACTTATATTTGCTTGTCTGTTTTGTAGAAGTTGCTCTTGGAAATGACTGGCTATTTTTGATCTGTTTTATCTGTAAGTCATTTTGTTTAATTCAGTATTTAACTTGTGAAATTTTTCATGATTACAAGCTTTACATGTCTTGATATGTATCTCTCATGAAAAGAAGTGAGCCTGATCATTTTTGTGAATTGAGGGATCTTGTATCCTGAGTAATCATGAAAATTACCATTTCTGCAATTGTGATTGGTTTTTAAACACTCCTCTTTTCCACTAATTCACTCACGAAGTTGCTATTGGGCAGTTTACTATGGGACAATTCAATAAGCCAATCACATTCAAAATTGTAGTTTAAAACAAGTAATAACACTCAAAGTTGTAGTTTAAATCATTTAGCAACCAGCAATCCATTTACCCCTCCTTTGTCATTTTTTTAAATGCAAATTTGCCTTTTTGTTCATTACTTGGCAACTCTTCTTTTCTCAGAAATTGTAATTTTATGATTAATTGGTGTAAGACCTTGTGTTGTCCAATTCGGTCTGTAATCATACTCATGATAAACAAATCAGGTACTCACTGCACTGTTGTTGACTGAATTAGACTCCACTCAGTCCTATTACCATTACTTATATAAGTTTAGGATATAGACAACATCACCTCCCATTTGGATTGATGAGAGCTGATTAATAACCCTTTACACCCTAACATCAGTATGCATACTCTCCATACTTTCCTCAGTGCATTTCTTTTGTCTTTGACAAGGAGAGTTTGTTTAACAATATAGAGCATGTTTAGTTGATGATCATTTCACTTATTCTTGTGACCTTAATGTTTGATGTGGGTTGATGTTGTTAAGAGAAATTAGATGCTAGTCACTCGTACGGATCAAAGAGTTAATCATGGCCAGCTCATACTAATGATCAATGCTAGTAATGAAAAATTAATACTTGTTAACTTGCAAAGCTTGTGTTCCTTTTTGAATCTTCGTGTCATGCTCTGAGTGAGAGTTTGAGCTCTTGCTTCTGTTAATCAAAGTGATTCTACTGTGTAATGAGTGAGTTTTGTTTCCTGTTGTGCCAGTGGCTTTTGTTTTCAACTGGTTGGGATTCTTTGCTGCTTACTGTATGACCAACACTATTGCTGGAAGGTATGGTGCAATGTCTGGCTTTGGACTGTCCGCAGTGAAATGGATTCTTATACTAAAGGTGAGAAATTTCACAAGCTTTGCAGATAAACCAAAATTACTATAACACCAAAAGGGGTTTCTTTGTTATCCCTTTCACTGCTAAGATCCAAATATGAATTCTCTTCACTGTCTGTCATTTCTTTATAATTTGGCCCTGAGAATTTGGTATAAAATTAAACAATATTCACAAGCTGATGCTTTTCTGTATTCTTGACACCTTTCTTAAGAACAATGTACTGATACTGTAAGGAGAAATTACTAATTGGTCACTGCTAGGGGTGAAAGAGCTAGAAAATGCTGCTAAGATGATTGTAGGCAGTAGCTGTTTGATATGTGTTTATAATACATTTGTTGTGTTAAGCTGTTACACTATACATGTAAAATGAAGGACAGAAACTTCTGTTCACAGTTATCCTTGTAACTTTTTTTTTTTTTTTTTACTTAAGTGCCTATTTTCAGTTGAATCAAAATTTGTACATCTTGCAGAATTCATCTTCTGTTGACACAGAGTTTGTTCATTCCTGGCTTTGGTGGATTGCTCTTGCCCTCGGTAAGAATAACTATTTATCTGTTTAATTTCACTAACAAAGCCATAAATGTTGTACAGTAAATGGTGTGAACCTAAGGGTAACATGTGATAGTGTTGTCTGATGGGGTGATGTTAGCTCTGAGAAAGACTGTTGTCAGTAGTAGAGATAGGGGTTTTAGCAAACTGAGCAGAAGTCATCATCAGAGTGGAGTGCAGAGTTGTTGTTGGTTGAGTGTGTCAAGTCTGATTTGTGTAAACTGATTGGTTGGTCATGCCACATTTTTATTAACTATAAGCCTCAAGTGGCATAATTCCATTGGGATCGGTCAGTTTCAATCCATCAATAATGTAAGGTTGTTAACCAATTCACTATCATCATTTTGATGTGATTGTCAACCTGGAAGAGGTAATCACAACACTGAATATGAAAGTGATCTTTGCAATAAAGAACACCACTATAGCAGTTAAAAAAAAAAAAAAAAAAAAAAGGCCCATATGGTATCTAAACTCTTGACCTCTCTGATACCAATGCAGTCCTTTACCAACTGAGCTAACAAACATTACTGCTAGAGGTACTCTGGTGTTAAGTTGTTTTCTTCAACCACATCATGTGTCTTTTTGTAGGATGGCTGATATTTGTTCAAAGTATTTTGACCTACTTGAACATCAAGTGGTGGGTGAAGAAAGGCTGTCGTTCTTTTCAGCGTCACTGGGGGATGCCACGAGGCAGCCGCGACAACTGATTTGTTAAGACTGTATTTGCTTAATGTGAATGAAATGGTCATTTCATTTTGGGTCATTTTAATGTTGTAGAGGACTATTTTATATTGGATGAAAACCCAGAAATGAAAGTTTGCTGGGTGCACTAAACATCACAAAAGTTAGAATAATGGATTGCAGATAGATTACAGATGACAGTTGTACTTGATAAATCTTCCATAGTGCATCAACTGTGATGGAGCTTCTTTAACCTTTTACCTCTCAATATCTATGTTGTAATTCTTGTTTTTGCTGCTGTATGTTCCCCTAAAGAGAATTTGGTTTTATATTAAGATGTAGCCCTTGGCTGATAAGTGTGTTTATTCTCATACCTGTTTGGAGGGTACTTTTATGATTTTAATCCTTTACACCCTGACATCAGCATGCATATTCTCCATACTGCTCTCTACATGTTTACTAAGGTGCTGGTAAGGAGAATAACTGGTGATCATTTGCTTTGTTCCCATGATTCTAGTGTTTGATTCAGGGATGATGATGTAAGGCGAAATTAGATGTTAGTCACTCTGAGGGTCAAACAGTTAAGAAGAGAAATGACATGTCTATCTTTTGGAAGTGGAGGGGTTGGGAGAACTTTAAACTACCTTGGATCTTTAACCCTTTAACTCCCAAGATCTGATTGTTAATTCTCCCCTCTAGCTGCTACACATATCCTTTTAAATAAGTTATGAGAATTTTGTGTTAGATCAAGATAAATTCTACCTCATCAGTATGAATATTCTCATCAGCTGTTTGCTGGATAATGTAAGGATATAATGGGGAGAAGTTTCATGTTGATCTCTTCTGGGAGTTAAAGGGTTAAAAGTTTGGCAATATTTGACAGCTACTGTATGGCCCTTTTGAAGGAAATTGTGATTAAAGGTGTGAAATGGGGTGATGAATCTTATTCTATTTCTTAGTAAAAAATGTACGAAATTTGCCATGAATTGTAGTTATTGTAGTTATTATGTGATAGTTAATTAGGAGTTGCAATGAAGAAATGTAGAAATATACTCAGTTGTAGGCCAGTGTAAATTTAATCACTTTATCTGGGAGGAAACAAAATAAAGGTGGCATTGTTCATGCATCACAGCAGGGATTGTGTATGATAATATGTTCTGTTTTATGATCAACTGATTTAAATTTCAGAAAATGTTATTTTTGTCTTGATCGATGTATGAATCCTCGGTTCTTAGGGGTGAAAGGAGTAGCAATTCCTATGGTATCAATGGTAAGGAAATGTTGTTTTGAACATTGTAGATTGTTTTTGTCGGGCTGATCGGAAAACAATGAACACTAGAAATATTTGTGGAATGCGACTGTGTTGAGGAAAACAGCCAGTCGGGCATGAAAGTTTTTAATTGTTCGTCAACGCCTCACGCTCTTGTGTCTTCTCGTGATACAAATCACTCCTTCATGTGAAAGATGATGTTAGGCATACTCGGAATAAAGAACTCCGAGTGGTGCCTTCTTTTACATTATAAGCTCCTTCGTGTCTGGGAAGTGTAACAAACTGGCCTTTTCACATTTCAATCTGATAGAATACTCTAATTACCTGTAACGAGTGACTTGCTGCACTAGAGCCCTCTGTGTATTGTGTAACGCTCGCAATACTAGAAACTAAACATAGCAAGAACCGTTCTCAATTTCCTTCGCATAATTTCCAAGGAGTGTAAGAAACAGCGGCCGCCAAGCTAACTACAAGTATGCGGAACGTTCATTAGAAAGCAAAAGTAGGCAAGGGGAAAACTTACGACATTTCAAACACTGGACACATACTTTTAATCAATTTTCAGATTATCGATATGACATTGGCTGACCCGCCGAAAATAGCCATAGCTAGTCTAAGGCGGTCAGTAATTAAAATCGAGATACCTAACTGATCTATCTTGGCTAACGCCTAAATTAAATTGGACCCACTGTTGGGAAGTACACCTTTTTCTGTTCATTTACGCAAAATGTACATTCATTTACGTCAACAGTTGAAACTATACGGCAAATATACATTCATTAGCACTTCCATGAACTTCATTAACGCGAACGAACTTAACGCTATTTGCATGTGTATTAACATTCAATAGCATCAACGGATGAACAATGGCACCTTTGGACAATCAAACATAACAAATATACTTTCAATCTCGCGCAATGATTGATCATTAACACCAAGAGAAAATCAATTGCATGGTATGACAATCAATTGCGTATTAGAGACAATCAATAATACAATTTGCGTAGAGACGTACAATCTATTGCACCTTCAAATAATCGTTTATTCAAATGGCCAATCATTAACGTGAACTGACAAATATTGGTGTTTGATTGTTTGTTTGTTTGGTGTTTGATGGTGTCTATCCACCACAGAGTCGCGTAAAATATGCCGCAAAACGACGATGCTGTTGTTTTTTTCGACTTTGTTTGCGCTCTGTTACACCGTGCCAGATGCCGGCACTTCCAACGGCCTGAGTTACTCACTATTCTATTTGGTCAAATCTGCCGAGTTATAAAGTTGAATTTCGTTATCAATCTGAATTTCCTGCAAGCTCAGTCAAGTCCTAAATGTTTATACATTGCTCTAATTGTTTACATTTAAAATGTGAGACACTCTGGAGGATGATTCTTGAATGGATCATTTAATAACACATCTTCTTACGTTGCTTACAAGCGTTGATTACTGAGGACTTTCAACCAGTGCAGACATGTGAGAATTCTACCCATAGACTACTGCGCTTCTTCCTAAGCGCGAAAGAATCTAAGTTATACCTAAGACCGACAAAAAGAGTAAAAAGAAGTTACTTCTTAGGCAGAAGGCTGCTCGTCGATAGGATGATCAAACAATTTGGCAAAACCCATATTATATGTGAAGCGATTTTCAAACGGTCCTCCTTTGTTAAATATCCTGTACACTGCCCCCCATTTTTTCAGGCTATCCGCGGGGTAGATCTCCTCGACCTTAGACTGGGTTAGGCGATTATTCTTTCCCCAGTGTGGCCTCGCTTTGAACTCCTCGTAGAGCTTGACCTCTACCATCTCCTGGAACTCGTCAATGCCATATGCTCCAGGGAGAAATGGTACCTGGGAAAAAAAAAGATAAAAAAGCATGAAGTAAAGATTCAATCCTTACTAATGTCTTATTTTATGGTAATTCTTAGAAAGGTTTTTTTTCCTTACCTCAATGTAACAGCTGTGATCACTGAGAGAACCGTCAAGTCTAAACTTGCTTGCAGGGCTCAGGAACAAATCATCAGAACGTGCAAGTCTCATAAATTGGTAGCAAAGAATAATGTTTATGCCTTTCTGCGTAATCTTGAGCCAGTTTTATCACAATGGTCAGGGCATCATGGAGGTGTTGCAATGGGAAGCACCATTCTGCTGTGCGAATGCTAAAATCACAAAAGAAACGACGAGACTCTTTTTGACAGCAATTTCTGACTGAGATTTCTTAGTTTGCTTTAACCACATTACACAGCTAGAAAAAAATTGAACGCATAGCGAATCGATGAATTGCACCCTCCGGCGCATGAGGTCGGCCTCTTTTTCCAGGAGTTGTAATCAGCAGTTTTAAATGTTAGCCTTTGTGCTGACCGGCATTTTGAATCACTTAAGCTTTACATTTACCAAACTCAATGAAAACGTGCTCTCTATTTCTCTATTTGATGGTAAACAAAAAAGTATATGTTTATAGCAACGCCTTAGAAAATGGCAATTATTCCTTCGTTTAATAAGTCAAACCGTTTGCAGCTTGAAAACGTTGATATTTTGTTGTAAAATCACGTTCAATCGGTCCGTTTGGCTGTTTGTGCAGATGACAGTTAGGAAGTTTCACATAGCGAGTGTTTTTACTTACTGGATATTGCCTTTAGTGAACTGCGGCACGTTGTGCCTGTCTGTCGATACGGTTTTTCGAACGAGAACTGTGACACACCGAAATTGGTCAGCTGTGGAATACGAGTGGGACAACAATTGGCACATCCCTGGAGGCAAGAGGCTGTGCAGTCTGTCTGCATGCAGCTTAGGTCCGCTATTCCTCTTCCTCCGCAACAATTACAACAGCATGAGCAACAAGCACAGCAGGTTGGTCCACGATCTGTTTTGAAAGCTTTTAAGTAAGCAATATTGATATGCTTGTCATTCCTGAGGGAGCAAGGGGGTAACGAGATTATTGATTTCATCGCCACCTTAAACAGGGAAAGGAATTACGATGTGAGACCTAAATTGGAATTAAATATACTGAGTCTTTTTAGACTTCCACCACCACCAACACAGCGCCTTTACTATCACCACCACGATCCTCACCACTATCACCGCCACTATCACCATCACCATAATTACCACCAGTATTGTTACCAGCACTTTCACCACCATAAATATTTCTTCTACCCCCGCTAGCATTAGCACCAGCACCACAACCGTCACTACCGCTAAATTCAGCATTTACACCAACACTACCACAAGCAACACCGTGACAACCATCTCCATCGTCCCCACCACTGCTGCCATTGCCACCACCCTTGTAATCAGTAAGAGTATTACCACCATAACTACCATTATTAGCATCACATCCCTCAACATCATCACTACAATCATCACTGTTACCAACACTAAGACTGAGACACCACTGCCAACCCTACTACCACCAATACCAGCAGCACCACCATAAACATCACTGCCACAACCACCAGGGTCCAGTTATCCAACAGATAAATTGCTATCCAGCGTATACCGGTCGAAGTACTAACAAGACGTACTGCACTATCCACCCGAGAGCGACTTTTCCAGTGGATGGCGTTATTCACCCTTCGAACAACCGGTGCCAGTACTGCGAACACCACCATCACCTCTACTCTCACCAAAAACATTATTGTCACTTCCATCACCACCATCACTAGCATTGCCACCCACCACCATCTCCGTCTCCACCGCCATCATTGTTACCATAGCTTTCACTACAGGCACCACTACGAATACAGCCAGCTCTTTAATACAGTGGCCCACAACTGTCACGGCAAAACAAAGAGTCACGGCAAAACAAAGAAAACGAGAAAACGAGAAAAAAGAATGCTAATTCTCTGAAACATAAGATACCAAAAGAAATTAAGGATTACCGTGATGGAAGAGATATGCATCAATATGAGACCAGAGAAACATTCAAACCAATTATCGACACGCAAATAGAGATAAAAGAGACTATTGATAAGACACAGGATAAGCTAATTGAAAAAGTACAGGAAAACCAACAAAATATTATTAATTTACCTGATGTACTCTCAGACATAACGTCTCAACAAGGGTCTCACCAGGGGTCAGTTCATGGAATTAATAGATGATTATCAGACTTACCGTCAAGTTTTGATCCATTGAACACTATTGAAGAAAGTGATGGTAATAATGAAGATGAAGATAAAAATAAAAATGATGACATATTTACAATGAGGTATGGCGGATACTTGATAATTATAATTATAATTATAAATTATGATAAATTATAATCATAATTAATTTATAATAAATTATAATTATAATTATAAAAATGATGACATATTTACAATGAGGTATGGCGGATACTTGATGAATTGTTGAAACTGTCTGAGCTAACTGAAACATAACATGTTGCATACGTCAGGCAACATTTAAAATAAACTGATAATATATATATATATACCAATATTTCTGAATTCAGTTGAATATGTAACCATAATATCTATGTCAAGAGTACGACGGATCAGAGACAAAAATGGTCATAGTGTATATTACGATGTGGAGACCATGAAGCGCAATTCTAAAATGATTCAAAATGATGAAGGTATTTTTTGATATTTCCAAAAAAAGTCGCAGGCAAGGTTGCCTCCAAACTGACAGGAAAGGTTGCCAAAGATATCGCTATAAAGGCAGCAAAAGCCAATGAAAAGGTGCAGAAGATGTTGGAAGCAAAACAGGCCAGCTATTCGGAGAGAAACTTTATGACAAATTCAACACTCCCAAACAACCAATTCAAAACACCAGAGACAGGACACAAGAGATGTTAAACAGCACAAACAAGACACAGGTTTTTATATCAGTCCTTAAGAAGATAAAGGGGAAGAAATCATCAAATTTTTGCAAACACAAACAGAGAACAAGAAAATGACACAATCAAAAGAGCTTCCAAATAAACATTTTCTGCTTGCACAAGAGTTTGATAAATTGATTAACATGTGAATGTTATGTAATCTTATTACATAAATGAGTTTAGATCTCCAGAAATCTGTGAAAATCTTCAGAAATTTATTTTACGCTAAATTAACCACAAATTTACATCATTGTTATTTCTGGGAGTTCTTTCACGTAGAATAAATGAACTAAATTAGTATGTTGAAAGTAATACATCGTTGTTATTGTCTTTGTTATTTTTATTTTGACTTTTTGCAATGGTAACAGGCCGCGAAATCACTTTCAGTTCCTTTAGTTGTGAATTTTTATCCCGTTGTCCTTTAGTAGGGCCACCCATTGCTGTTGTTTGTGCTTTGTTGGAATTAGCTGTTCGTTTTTTCTTGCAGTAACTTCTCTGTAGAAATTCACGAAAATCACTCATTTGAACGACGTTAATTACGACGTTCATTACACCGTTCGAAAAAACTATTCCACCGAAGCCACAGCGTGATATGAAATCAGTTTGAAAATTACGGTATGGTTCCGCCTTATGATTGTAGAGCAAACTGGCCAAGAAAAAGAAGAGAATAAGGAAAGTCATTCCCTTCACTCTCGTGGCTATCAGCTTCGTCTTAGAAGCATTGTTCAACCCTTTGATCATCGCACGGTTCCCTCTGATCCTTATCGTTTTAAGGAGGCAGAAGTGGACGAATATTATAAAACTTCCCGGTAGAATGTATTGTACCACGACGACAACCAGGGGCATTCTGAAAGGGAAAAATTGATACTTGTGGAAGCAGATAGTTGTATAATGGGTGTGGTTAAGATCCAGCCTTATTCTACTAAATGGGGTGGCCGCTAGCACTAACTTATCTGTTTTGTGGAAGTTGTCTTTGCATGGAAATGAGTAGTTATTTTTTATCTGTTTTATCTGTAAGTCATTTTGCTTTATTTAGTTTTCAACCTAAGAAATTTTTTATAAATATAAGCTTTACATGTCTTGATATACATCTCTCATCAAGGGAAGTGGGCCTGATCGTTCTCGTGAATTTAGAGGTCTCATGTCCTGAGTAAATCATAAAAATTACCTTTTCCGCAATTGCGATTGGTTTAAAAAGCCCCTCTTTTCCACTAATTCACTTGCATAGCTTTTATTGGGTAGTTTGCTATGGGACAATTCAGTAAGCCAATTACATTCCAAGTTGTAGTTTAAAACAAGTAATAACACTCAAAGTTGTAGTTGAAATCAACTAGCAACCAGCAATCCATTTACGCCTCCTCTGTCAGTCTTTCAATGCAAATTTTCTTTTTTATTCATTACTTAGCTAGGCCGAAATTAATTTAATAGAAGAAAATTAATTAATTAGATCATTGGTTTAGCATTAGATCATTGGTTTAGCATACAATTGCAATTGTAATCATGGCGGACGCCATGGATTCCGACAGCAATCTGCGAGCGAGAGCCTTTCTTCCGTTGACTAAACTCATTTAGTCAGTTCAGGCGGACGACCAGAGACTGGAGCCATTTCTGTATTTCACCGCTGACAGGAGTAGCTCCGACTCATGCGTTCGTTATTTTATTTTATTTCTATTTATTTATTTTTTTTGCTATTCGTTTTGGCTAAATGATTTATACACTAAGATAAAAACTGGAAGAGCGTTTTACTACGTTCTTCCTACATTGAACTCTACAATGCTTTCTAATTAAGCCCTCTTTTATCAATGCAGGGCCATGAACTTTTTCAGTAATATTTATTCTATAATCAGTACGACCCCCCAGGTGTTTTTATCGAAACAATTATAAGAAAATCCCCGTACGAGGGCCTGTGAGAAGCGGAAATAGAAAGAAAAAGACTGTGACAATCATATTATAAAATTCTTAATGATTGAGTAAGGTTGGGAACGGATATTTGAATGGTAGCTTCTTAAAGACAACCCTAGTCAGTTCCCACGCCCAGAAAATAGCTCCATGGATCCTGACTACAAGGAAACATCTAGTGATACCGCATACCACGAGAGCACCAACGAGATGAACTTTCTACGAGACTGTCTAATAAAGGAACTGTGGGCGAGAATGGGGAAAGTACCATAGAGAGGACGAAACGATCCCTTGAGGCGAAATTGCTCAGAATGATCGATGACGTTGAAGTCTGAAGATGAAGATGCGCTGCAACAGTTAAAGAAAAGTGTCAATTCCTCTTACAGTTTGTTAACTTCGATGGTGCAGCACGTGCGTACGACAAGTACACTGTCGGCTGCTATACCTAAAAGGGAGTGCACCTGAAACAAAACATTGAGGTCCAGAAACGTTTCTTTTCCACAAAACGAAAGACACAGAAGAGAAATATCAGGTTGGAAAAACGAAACAAGGAAGAAAAGATGGAGATGATTGAGAATTGGAAGAATGATGAGCAATCAGAGCAGAACAACATCAAAGTACCTTTAGACTTCACATCGCAAAACGATGGCGCACAAGGTATGAGGTGTTTCACCGTTCGAAATGTTTTCTTCCTAGCCTATCACACCTGTCTCACCTCACCATCTGTTTATTTCGCTTGTAGGATTGCAAGAAATGCTTCACTGGTTTACTAAGGAAAAACATCATTCCATTGAAGACCTGGTTAAATCTGTCTTTAAACTGTTTTGATACCCGAAGAAGCAGTAGAAGCTAACTTAGCAGATTTGAAGAGGTTTATCACAGATGATGCCAGGAAAGCAGTTTGCAAATTAGGTTAGGATGGCTCGTGTACTTTACAGAAAACGCGGTTTAAGTTGTTCTAATTCTTTCTTAAATTTAAGTGATATTAATACCTTGTCTAAAACAGTAGTAATACAATAGCAAACGAGATATATACGTTCCAAAACAGCGTCATGTGATGAACAGCCTTCATTAGTTTTGTGCAAGTTTCTTAAAATCATTTGACTCTTTCTGGTTATAGCCTAAAAGCTGTCCGAAGACTGATTGTGCCATCATTGCGAATAGTTAAGGCCACTCGAGATGATTCAGTGCGAGAGTTACTGCCACTGGTTTGACTGGTTAGACGTTTTTTTTTTTTTTTTTTTTGTTTTGTTTTTTCCTATTTTCAGGCCAAGCGAATTTCTCCAGCAGAGCATATTGTAAATTAAATATATCGGTCGCAGCCACGCAACACTGTGTGATTTTCCAAACGTGACATGCAGTAGCTGCATTATTTTAAAACTTAGAAACTACATGGTCCTGTATTAATAAAAGAGGGCTTCATTTACAAGTAGTGTAAAGTTCAACATAAGAAGAAACGAATGAAACGCTCTTTCGGTTTTATTAGGGTATCTAAGTGTGTCAATTATTTAGCCAAAACAAAACAAAGATAAAAAAAAGCACTAGTCGGAGCCATTCCTGTCAGCGGTGAAATGTAGGAATAGCTCTAGTCTCTGATCGCCACGGACGCCATTTTACTTCTGCAAAACACTACTTTGCGCATGCCCTCGAGTAAAAACAGCATGAAAAATACATTAAAATAATTTATGTATTTTTTTCGGCTTCTTTGAAGTACGGCGATGAACTTACTGCTGCCTATGAATAAATAAGCCAAAAAAAAAGAAATGGAACACTTCCTTTATCTACCACAGAGTTACATAAAAGATGCCGCAAACGATGAGGCTGTTGTTTTTAAGACCTTGTTCGCACTCTCTTACACTGTGCCAGATACCGGCACTCCTGACGGCCTGAGTTACTCACTATTCTATTTAGTCAGATTTGTCAAGTTATAAAGTTGAATTCCGTTATCAATCTAAATTTCCTGCTAGCTCAGTCAAGTCATAAATGTTTATACATTGCTCTGATGGTTTACATTTATAATGTGAGACACTCTAGAGGATGATTCTTAAATGGAATGATTCCATCTTAGTGTTCGTAGTCTTCGGTTATTCTAGATAATCTTAACACATCTTAGTATGTTGTTTATAGGCGTTGCTTACTGAGGAGTGTCAACCAGTTCAGGCATGTGAGAATTCTACCCCTAAACTACTGCGCTTCTTCCTACGCGCGAAGAATCTAAGTGATACTTAAGAGCGACAATGAAAGGTAAAAAGACGTTACTTCTTAGGCAGAAGGCTGCTCGTCGATAGGATGATCAAACAACTCGGCAAAACCCATATTATTTGTGAAGCGATTTTCAAACGGGCCTCCTTTGTTAAATATCTTATACACTTCTCCCCATTTTTTCAGGCTATCCTTGTGGTAGATCTCCTCGATCTTAGACTGGTTGAGGCGATTATTCTTTCCCCAGTGTGGCCTCGCTTTGAACTCCTCGTAGAGCTTGTTCTCTAACATCTCCTGGAACTCGTCAATGCCGTATGCTCCAGGGAGAAATGGTACCTGGGGGAAAAAAAGAGATAAAAAAGCATGAAGTAAAGACTCAATCCTTACTGTTCGAAAGCGATAACGAAAATCTCCTTTAAAAGCAGGCACGTTCAATTGGTAAAAAGACGGCAAAACGGTAACGGCTTAAAGAACAAACTCAAAAACCTCCAAAATGTAACTAAAACTGGAAAAAAAAAAACACACACGCAAGAAATCGTAAGTAATCGTCTCTCAGCGCGCGCGCGCTAATCGCACGACACGCCAGTCCGGTACTTTCTTCTTAACACCAACTAATGTCTTATTTTATGGTAATTCTTAGAAAGGATTTTTTTCTCACCTCAATGTAACAGTTGTAATCATTGATGGTTCCGTCAGGTCTAAACTTGCTTGCAGGGCTCAGGTACAAATCATCGGAATGTGCAAGTCTCACATAAAATGGTAGCAGGGAATACTGTTTATGCTTTTTTGCGTACTCTTGAGCCAGTTTTATCACCATGGTTAGGGCACTTTGGAGGTGTTCCAACGGTAAGCACCATTCTGCTGAGCGATAGCTTAAATCACAAAAGAAACGAGAAGACTTTTAAGATAAGTAATTCGATATTATATTTATTCATAATTATAGAAGGTCCACATCAGCTTGTAAGTTACGTATTACTGACCTGCTTTACTAAATACAGCTATGCATGTGGGATATTTTAGTTTGCCTTAACCACCTTCTTACACGGCTAGTAAAAATGGAACAAAAATCGGTCCATTTGGCTGTTTGTGCAGATGATAGTTAGAAAGTTTCACATAGCGAGTCTTTTAACTTACTGGATATTGCCTTTTGTGTACTGCAGCACGTTGTACCATGTCTGCCGATACGGTTTTTCGAACGAGAACTGTGACACACCGAAGTTGGTGAGCTGTGGAATACAAGTGGGACAACAATTGGCACATCCTTGTAGGCAAGAGGATATGCAGTCTGTCTGCATGCAGCCTAGGTCCGCCATTCCTCTTCCCCCGCAACAATTACAACAGCATGAGCAACAAGCACAGCAGGTTGGTCCAAGATCTGTTTTGAAAGCTTTCGAGTAAGCCATTTCGATATGCTTGTCATCCCTGAGGGAGCAAGGAGGTAACGAGATAATTACTTTCAACCCACCTTAAACGGGGAAAGGAATCATGAAGTGAGACCTAAATTGGAATTAAATGTACTGAGTCTTTTAAGACTTCCACCTTCGCCATCACAGCGCCTCTACCATCACCACCATTATTACCATCACCATACCTGCCACCAGCATTGTTACCAGCACTTTCACCACCATAAACATTTCTTCTACCCCCGCTAGCATTAGCACCAGCACCACAACCGTCACTACCGCTAAATTCAGCATTTACACCAGCACCAACATAAGCAACACCATGACAACCATCTCCATGGTCACCACTGCTGCCATTGACACTACCCTTGTAATCAGTAAGAGTATTACCACCATAACTACTATTATCAGCAGCAGCACATCCCCTAACTCCATCACTATATCATCACTATTACCAGCACTAAGACTGAGACACCACTGTCAACCCTACTACCACTAATACCAGCAGCACCACCATAAATATCACTGCCACAATCACTAGGGTCCAGTTATCAGATAAATTACTATCCAGCGTATACCGGTTTAAGTGTTAACAAGAGGTACTGCAGTATCTACCCGAGAGCGACTTTTTCAGTGGATAGCGTTATTCAACCTTCGAACAACCGGTGCTAGTACTACAAACACTGCCATCACCTCTATACTCAGCAAAAACTTCTATCATCACCATCTCCGTATCCAACGTCATCACTGCTACCATAGCTTTCACCACAAGTACCACTACGAATACAGCCAGCTATATAACGTTCGTATTAAAGAGCTCATTCTGCTTTAGTAAGTAGCCCTGAGGCCTTACCTTGGTCCTAGTGGGTATGGATTGACGAAAAACGAGAAATATTCTGCATCTTTTGTCTTGTACATTTCAGCAAACTTTTCAAGAACCTCTCCCAATTGCAACTTCTTACCCACTAACGCATCGTCACAGTCGTTGTTGCCTTCCTCGTCTTCGGTCATCGTCGCTTCTGGCCAAGAGACCTGTTCCATTTTTCTGATTTCCTCCAGATTGTACATAGGAACACAGCTGTAGGTAATGGAATAGATTACCCCCATACATCCTAAGCCTACTTGACATGCCTTTAACACCTCATCACTGTTAATCTCGACCGGGTCTTCTCCGTATTTGGCTTTATCGATCTTTGCTTCGCAGTCCGCAATGCTTTCGGGGCCGCCACGTACCTTCACTTGGATTCCACCACGTACGATTAAGTGAAGACCCACTACAAAAGTGGACTGCAAACGAGACATAAATTATTAAGATTATTTAGTCAATGAACTTAAGACATGCTCTTCCCTTTGAAAAATTGAGGAAGGAAACCTTGGTCATACAAACACTTTGATAATCATCATTGGTAAATTTATGGCTATAAGAAGCCGTGGAATTGTCTCAAAGATGTAGTTCGACAATCTTTGCATTGTGAACGTATATTACCATATTTGGAATGTCACGTGACCAGAACACTACGAGAGCTTGATATGTGGATCTTACATAATATAGCGTAATTCGTGAAAGTTGGTGAACTGCAATTCTAGTCGAAATTGTCAATCCTCTTTCGTCCAGCCGTCTTCTTAAACATTTCAATCATGAGGAAATTATCTGAATTTTGTTCAAGAGAGATAGACTTGATCTACTTCTTCGTATGGTGGCCGAGAACGTACGAAGCCGCAAGATCACCCAATTACAATATGATATATTTTCTCTCACCACTCCATTAACCATACCATTGTTCCACTGAACCATCCTGATCCATGAGTGGAAGTGCTCGCCACTCCTCCAACCGTTTGGCCTGCGTAGTTTCCTATCATCTTGAGCGCCAGGTTATGTTTCTTGTCTAGTTCCTCGACAAAATCTACAACGAGTTTCCCGGCTTGTACTTCGACTTCATATGTCGTTTCCGTTGATTCCATTTCTGAATCCTCCGACTGTGAATCCTCCGGTGTCGGTGGTGCGACTACGAGAATCTTGTTCAAATCTGTCATGACCACGAGTATGTCTCTAGTGTGGGTGAGACGAGACCAAGAGGAACCTGTGCCCACAGCGCGAATGGTGTAGCCATTGTCCGCTGCATACTTACACAACGCTGCGATCTGACCAGCGCCATTAAGCCCTGTGTTATCAGAAAGTCAGATTAATCGATACAATTTTTACTCTCAGGAATTCCATATATCAGGTAGCATTTGTTCTAAGGTTACATTATGATAATGTATGTTTCAGCGTGAGTTCTTCAAGTTAATCAGTCAGTAATTAAAGCAGCAGTTACTGTAATTGTTCTCAAGTTAGTTGGTCCCACTCTTTCAATCGCTCAATCACAGTTTATCATTTAGTTCTTACAAATGTTCGTGTACACACCATCATGGCTTTGCATTTGATTTTTTATATCATCGTCGTCATCAATGCCATAAAGAGCTTCTGGAAAACAGTGAACAAGCTCGTCCTGGGGATGGTAAATATAGACGAGTGGTTGAACCTTTTCCGTGCCGTCAAAGTTGTAAAAGACCCGGCGTCCTGAGTATGTACAATAACGAATGCAAGGAAAAATGCACTGGTAGGACCAGCGCGAGTTGTAACAACAATCCACGCTGTTTCCCATGACTAATACTCTGTAAGGAACAAAAATAGAAATGTGTTGGAAAGGAGGTCTTTGTACTAAAAAAGTGCGAGATGGGTGTTCAATTTTAATTCTAGTATTCTATCTTCTTCCCTCTCAAACGTCTTTTGTCAACGGAGGAAAAGAACGAATCATGATAATATGGCTTCTGATTATTGAAGCAGTTACGTCACTGTTTGCAGACATGGCGGTCAAACGACTGCGTAATTGCAAACGCGAAGAGGGCATGGTCGCCAGAGTCACGCCTCGTATGATTAAGAACAACTTATACAAATGAACCAAGTCTACAAAATCACTAGATTGTGGTAAATCCCAACACAAAATGAAAAATGAATAAAATACTCCAGGCGAAATGAAAGTAACTTTTCATTTTTCCTACTTTTGCTCCTATTACAGACTTCTATGGACGGTTGCATTTTTTGGCTGTTCCTTATGTTTTCGAGTAAAAATGAGAGAGCAAGCTGGGTTGCACATCATAAAATACTGCACTGAATCTGGTTGCAGATTATCAAATGATAAGCTTTGGGCGACCTCGCTGCAGCCTTTGACCCATGACAGGAAACGCACGTTTGTAAAAATATATAAAACAAAGCCATAGCTGAAAGTAACAGGAAAACAGCACGACGAAGACTGATAGACGCCTGCATAATTAAAAAGTAGTTATTTCAAGAGAAATTAATATTGTCTGGGTTACGACTCGGAGTTATTGTCTGCTTCATTTTCCGTGGCAGTGTACGTGTGCCATGACTCGCGAGTCTTTCGTAGTCTTGAGTCACATAGCAACTGTGAAAAATGTGAATAAAGAAGGGAGGTTTATCTAACAGCGCGTGAGCGAGAAAGAATACCATAATGTTCACCTTCAAGGAACCTATATTCGTAGAGACAGTGAAGTTTTTTGCTTAAATGTGTATTTTTTTTTAATCTGGAAGTGATATATTTTATCAAGTTTTTCTGTGTTTTAGCTTTACTCAGTTGGCACTTAAACAATGCATACACTTCTGATGTTGTTTTGACGCATATGCTTAGTAGTCTTTCCATGTGAAATCAAAGAGATTCTACTCGGAAATGGTGATCAATTGAGAACTTTTGATAGATTAGATCTTTTGAAAAGCCATCACTTACACTTGCATGGAATGCATTTACATTCGTGCTGATTACATTTGCCGTTCGCCGATCAGTGTACATGTATGAATTGAACTTAGATCAGAACAATCATTGATAAAAGCACAATATCGAAAAATATGAGTATGTTCAGCTCTACGAGGTTTGGTGTTTTTGACCCATTTTCTCTGTCGTAAGTTGGGAAGCATTTTCTCTCATAGGCAAATATTACTCTGCTATGCACATTTGCAGGGCGCCTCTTCTTAGAAAAGACGCGTGAACTAGATCCACTATTACATTAATTAGAACTTAAGAATTATTTTCCATCCTCACCCAAATCAGTGCGGTCCTTAACACTAGTGGCTCTTCTCTCAGCGGTTCTTAATTCTAGTTGCCCTTCTCTCAGTTGCAGCTTTGTGAACAACCTTTAGAATGCCCTGAGTTACGTGCTTTGAATAGATTAAGTGAATGCTTGTCATTTTTACTTCTGTCAGGTAGCCCTTAGGCGGCTCGAGCTCCAGCTGCGAGATGATCATCTTGCGAAATAAAAGTCGTGGCGAAATGAGAAAGGTTTGTATGGGAATATTTCGACTGTTCTTAAGAATAAAAAATACAGTCAAATTATAAAATAAAAATACCGGACTTCCACGTAGTATCGCTTGTAATCTTACCACTTACTGTGTTATAATCTGAAGAGCAGACTGATTGCTATTTAGATTCAAAACAGTTATTAGTCTTTATCTAAATGTACAGGCGGCCCAAGCTCCAGCTGTGAGCGGATCATTTTGCGACATAGGAGTCATGGCGAAATTATAAGAGTTTGTATGGGAATGTTTACGACCGCTCTCAGGAATAAAAAAATACCGCCAAATTCTCAATAAAAATACCTCACCTTATTTCCACAGTGCATCGCTTGTTATATGATTGCTTACTATGTTGAAAAAAATCAATTTTAGCAAATTATCCATTTTATAGGGTTATTATGTACATAAGAGAAACCCTCAAGCTTCGTAATTATTCCCATACAAATGGTTGAACCTTTTCCATGCCGTCAAAGTTGTAAAAGACCCGGCATCCTGTGTATGTACAATAACGAATGCAAGGGAAAATGCACTGGTAAGACCAGCGCGAGTTGTAACAACAATCCACCCTGTAAGGAACAAAAATAGAAATGTGTTTGAAAGAGGTCTTTGTACCCAAACAGTGCGAGACTGTTGTTCAATTTCGTTTCTAGGATTCTCTTTTTTCCTCCCTCTAAAACGTCTTTCGTCGACGAAGGAAGCGAATGAATCCTGATAATATGGCTTCTGATTATTGAAGTAGTTACGTCACGGTTTGAGGACATGGCGGTCAAACGACTGCGCAATTGCGAACGCAAAGAGGTCGGCTGTTTCACACATCTTATGATTAAGAACAACTTATACAAATGAACCAGTTCTGCAAAATCGCTAGATTGTGGTAAATCCCAACACAAAATGAAAAATGAATAAAATACTCCAGGCGAAATGAAAGTAACTTTTCATTTTCTCTACTTTTGCTCCTATTACAGACTTCTATGGACGGTTGCAGTTTTTTGGCTGTTCCTTATGTTTTCGAGTAAAAATGAGAGAGCAAGCTGAGTTGCACATCATAAAATACTGCACTGAATCTGGCTGCAGATTATCAAATGATAAGCTTTGGGAGACCTCGTTGCCGCCTTTGACCCATGACAGGAAACGCACGTTTGTAAAAATATATAAAACAAAGCCATAGCTGAAAGTAACAGGAAAACTGCACGACGAAGACTGATAGACGCCTGCATAATTAAAAAGTAGTTATTTCAAGAGAAATTAATATCGTCTGGGTTACGACTCGGAGTTATTGTCTGCTTCATTTTCCGTGGCAGTGTACGTGTGCCATGACTCGCGAGTCTTTCGTAGTCTTGAGTCGCATAGCAACTGATAATGATAGTGATAATGATAAGGGATTTATATAGCGCTAAAACTATAAACAATATTCAGAAGCGCTTTACATAAGTTAAAGTTCTATACTAATTAAAATTAAAATATTCAAAGGCAATAAACATTAGAACTATTGAAACAAACTGAAAGCTTTCTTGAATAGAAATGTTTTAAATTGCTTTTTAAAAATGGCGAGGCCACTACTTGTTCTTATAGTTAATGGCAGCGAGTTCCATAAAACAGGTGCAGCATGAGCAAAGGCGCGGTTCCCAAGTGAAGAGCAGTTGCCTTTTTGAACGAACAGAAGAGATTGAGCAGAAGAACGAAGAGCATAATTAGTAGCTGATTTCAGGGACAAAAGATCTTTGATGTAGGAAGGACTTTGGTTGTGTAATGACTTGTAAACAAAGAGGAGTAATTTAAACTGAACTCTGAACGTTACTGGGAGCCAATGTAGGTCGATAAGTGCAGGTGTGATATGATCAAATTTTGGAGTCTGAAAAATCACTCTAGCCGCAGCATTCTGAACTTTCTGTAAGCGATCGAGTCGATATTTAGGTAGACCGAAGAGAAGTGCGTTACAGTAATCAAGGTGTGAGGATATAAAAGCGTGGACTAGTGTCTTAGTCGATTGAACAGTAAGGAATTTTCCGATCTGTCTTATGTTGTATAATCCGCGAAAAGCCTTGCTACAAATCTTGCCTATATGGAAGTTCATTCGCATATGGGCATCGAACCAGGACCCAAGGTTCGGGACGCTTTCTAAAGGTTTAATGAGGGTGTCACTAATAATAATAGATTCAATAGATGTTTTTCCAAGTTGTTGGCGGGTGCCAATAATTAGAAACTCAGTTTTTGCCTCGTTTATCATTAAACGATTAGCAATAAACCAAGAACGAACATCAGCAATGCACATCTCAATCGCAGAGACAGCGTTAATTTCGGAATGGATAGAGCAAGGTCGGAAGAACAGGTAAATCTGAGTGTCGTCAGCATAACCATGGACGGAAGGGAGATGCTGAGAAATAATGTTGAAGAGGCGGGAGACGTAGAGAGTGAATAAAATAGGCCCCATACAACTACCCTGGGGGACTCCACAGTTGAGATTAAAGTCATCAGAAGTCTTATCACCAACAAGTATACGTTGTTTGCGACCGGACAGAAATGAGTCGAACCAATTTAAAGCAGTCCCGACTGTGAAAAACGTGAATAAATAAGGGACGTTTATCTAAAGGCGCGTGAGCGAGAACGAATACTACAATGTTCACCTTCAAGGAACCTATATTCGTAGAGGCAGTGAAGTTTTTTGCTTACATGTGTAATTTTTTTTTAATCTGGAGGTGATATATTTTATCAAGTTTTTCTGTGTTTTAGCTTTACTCAGTTGGCACTTAAACTATACATACACTTATGATGTTCTTTTGAGACATAAGCTTAGTCTTTCCATGTGAAGTAGAAAAGATTATGCTTTAAGTGATGATTAATTGAGAACTTTTGATAGATTAGATCTTTTGAAAAGCCATCATTTACACCGGCATGGAGTGCATTTACACTCGTGCTGATTACATTTGCCACTCGCCGATCAGAGTACATGTATAAATTGAACTTAGATCAGAACAATTATTGTTAAAAATCACAATATAAAAAGTAAAAGTATGTACAGCACTATGAGGTTTGGCATTTTGACCCATTTTCTCCGTCGTAAGTTAGGAAGCGTTTCCTCTCATATGCAAATGTTACTCTGCTATGCACATTTGCAGCGCACCTCTTCATAGAAAAGACGCGTGAACTAGATCCACTAAAGCATTAATTAGAACTTAAGAGTTATTTTCCATCCTCACCCAAATCAGTGCGGTCCTTAACACTTATGGCTCTTCTCTTAGCGGTCCTTAATTCTAGTTGCCCTTCTCTCAGTTACAGCTTTGTGAACAACCTTTGGAAAGAAAGAAAGCTATAAGTTGCGTGCTTTGAATAGATTAAGTGAATGCTTGTTATTTTTGCTTCTGTCAGGGAGCCCACAGGCGGCCCGAGCTCCAGCTGCGAGATGATCATCTTGCGAAATAAAAGTCGTGGCGAAATGAGAAAGGTTTGTATGGGAATATTTCGATTGTTCTTAAGAATAAAAGATACAGTCAAATTCTCAATAAAAATACAGGACTTCCACAGAGTATCGCTTATTATCTGACCACTTACTGTGTTATTATCTGAAGAGGAAACTGATTGCCATTTAGATTCAAAACAGTCCTTAATAACCATTGTAAGGAAATTTCCTATGTATACTCCATTGTGTTGTAAATCTACTTTCCTAAGTAAAAGCAAATTAACTAATCGCGAGTGTTGTATGGCAAATCTACCATCTTGATCATTTAAAGGTGTGCGACTCCTGCCATTCGCTTGCGCTTTTAAATCTTCTGTCTGAAAGTTTAGCTGTTATCAGGATATCTTTTAATGACTTTCCTTCGTGATGTGATAGTAAGGTTTAGTTTTAAGGTGTCATTTCCCCATCTGTATATTCTTGAGGTTTGGCAAAGGCGGATGAGATTTACTAAAGTTCACATGGCAACCAGGTGGACAATCAGACATGATTTGATGCTACTCTGGTTTAAGGATTTAATGAATGTAACCGAGAAGTTACAATTCATAGACCCAACGTTTCGACACTCCTACCTTCATCAGGGGTGATCTAATCGCTGCAACAAGAGGTCCTTCTATATGCTCACTAATTAGCTGCCCTTTTTTCCGTCGAGGTATTAATAGGCGTCAGGTAGGAAGCCGCCATCATCACGATTTAAAGGAGCGTGAGCGGAGTTGATATGCCAGGCTACCAAAGAAAGGCGCTGGTGGTAACGTCGATTAGTGGTGATAATTTTAGACTTATCCCACCCAATTGTATGGCTGGTTAAGCAAGTGTGCTCCGACAAGGCTGAATTTCTTTTTTTTGCAAAAGAAGACCGCTTTTTGGTGCTCTTTCAAACGTGTACTGAACTGAAGTTTGGTCTGTCCGATACGCTTGTGATCACAGTCATTACACGGAATAGAATAAATAGCGTCGGTCCGTTGTTCTTTCGTGGCAAGATCTTTATGTTTGGCAAAAATATGCCCTAAAGTCTGAAAAGGTTTTTGAGCAACTTTAAGGTTGCGGCTATTAAAAATTGTCGTGATGGTTCCGTAACATCCAGAATGTAAGGAATAACAGCAAAACCAGTAGCTGGTTCCTTTTCATTAGGAGTGCTACTAGTTGTAATTGGTTTTTGGCAGTTATGGAGAAGAGTTTTGGTATAGCTATTTGCCTTTAGGACATTACAAACATATTTTCTCTGCTCATCCTTCGAATCGGGTGCAGATGGTATTTTCTTATACCAGCCATATATTATACTAATATATATTATATTAATCTCTACGTCGCTTATGAAGATGCTTTAAAGGATTAGACAGTGGTTGCTGCGATTTTAAATTCCCACTGTAGTGTCTGCATTTGAATCTCACTCCTTTCATGTCTATATTTATTTTTTCCTGTTATGATGTCATAATCATTTGAAATTAAGAATTTGTGACCATTTCTTCTATATTCTCTTTTCATCTTTAATTGTTCACTAGATATTTTGTAAATATTTGTTGATGATT